TTGAGAAATGCTGAGCATGTTCTACCCTTTTGGTTTTCTGACTCCAGATCTTTGCACATTTTTTTGTAATATTTGGCTTTATCTTCTCAAGCTGACCTTTGAAATTTTCTGTTCAGCTCTTGTACCTCCTCATTTCTTCCATTTGCTTTAGCATCTCTATGCTGAAGAGTAAGTTTCAGTGTCTCTTCTGACATCCATTTTGGTCTTTTCCTTCTTTCTTTTCTTCTTAATGACCTTTTACTTTCTTCCTGTATGATGTTCTTGATGTCATCCCACAACTGTTGTGGTCTACTGTCTTTAATGTCTAATGCATCAAACCTGTTCTTAATATGATCTCTAAATCCAGGTGGGATCTGTGCAAGGTCATGTTTTGACTCTTGTGGACTAGTTTTAATTTATGTTGTTTAAAAAAGGTATTTGCAATGAAGAAGTCATTGGTCTTAAAGAATTTTATCATGTGATCTCCAGCATCATTTTTATTATCAAGACCATATTTTCCAACTACGGATCATTCCTCTGTTTCCAATTGTTGCATTCCAATCACCAGTAATACATCCTGATTGAATGTTTGATCAATTTCAGACTGAAGAAGTTGGTAGAATTCTTCAGTTTAATTATCACTGGCTTTAGTGGTTGGTACGTAAATTCGAATAGTGGTATTAACTGATCTTCCTTGTTGTTGTTATTATTGTTAGGTGCCATGTAGTCAGTACCAACTCATAGTGACCCTATGTACAACAATACATAGGATCCTGGGCCAACCTCACAATCATTGCTACATTTGAGCCAATTGATGTTGCCACTGTGCCAATCCAATTCATTGGGGGTCTTCCTCTTCTTTCTCTGATCCTCTACTTTACCAAACATGACAGCCTTCTCCAGTAACTGGTCCCTCCTGACAATATGTCCAAAGTATGAAAGACAAAGTCTGGCCATCCTGGCTTTCAAGGAGCACTCTGGCTGTATTTCTTCCAACACAGACCTATTTGTTCTTTTGGCATTCCATGGTACTTTTCAATATTCTCCTGCAACACCATAATTCAAATGCATCAATTCTTCTACGGTCTTCCTTATTCACTATACAACTTTCACATGCCTATTAGGTTATTGAAGATACTGTGGCTTGCATCAGGCATACCTTAGTCCTCAAATTGACATCTTTATTCTTGAACACTTTAAAGCAGCAAAAACTAATTTAAATGTGTGGTACTGTGTACAGCAGATTTGCCTAATGCAATATGTTGTCTGATTTATTGACTGATGCTTCCAGAGAGTTGATGGTTGATCCAAGAATGAAGTCATTATTGACAACTTGTCTTTTTTCCAATTTTATGTATGTTATTTATTAGTCCAGTGGTGAGGATTTTTGTTTTCTTTACCTTGAGGTGCAACCCATACTGAAGGCTGTGGTCTTTGATCTTCATCAACAAGTATTTTAAGTCCTCCTGGCTTCCTTGTAGGCATATGGATCTTATCCTATCACAGACAGCATTATACTTCAAGACAGATGTTGAAATGTTCTTTTAGATGATGACTGTGATGCCATTCCTCTTCAATTTGTCATTCCTGGCATAGTAAACCATGTGATTGTCAGATTCAAAATGGCCAATACCGGTTCATTTCAGCTGGTATATACCTAGGATATCTATATTTATGAGTTCCATTTAATTTTTGACAACTTCCAGTTTTCCTAGATTAATACTTCATTCTTTCCATGTTCTGATTATTAGAGGATGTTTATAGCTGTTATTCTTCATTTTGAGTTGTGCCCCATCAACAAATGAGGGTCGCATTTGTGTCATCATGATTAACTCTACTTAGATCACCCCAAAATCTACCAAGAAATGCTAAACTACCTTCATCAAGTTTCACCCCATGCTAGCTCCCTCTAACCAAAAGGTATAATGACAAAATCACAAATCTTCAACTATAAGTTGTCTCTGCCAATTCCAGAACTGTGATGCATAAACTGCTTCAGCTACAATGGCAGGTCTTACTAGGCCGTACTGTAAAAGCAAAGTCTGTTATGAGATGTCTGAAATGCAGAGCACAGATTCAGGAGAGGAATTACTCACATATTTGTGGACTTTTAACTCCTGAGTAATGTAGTCTGTAAAAGAAATCTAGGTGTGGAAGCAGCAAAACTTATTTAAATGTATGGTACTGTGTCTGCTGGCTAAGCTATGGTTCTGGTGGTGGTTCTGGTGGTGGTGGTGGTATGCTGTGGAGTCGGTTCCGACTCATAGTGACCCTGCATAGGGTCTCTGAGGCTGCAAATCTTTACAGGAGCAGAAAACCTCATCTTTCTCCTGTGGAACAACTGGTAGTTTCAAACTTCTGACCTTGAGGTTAGCAGCCCAACTTGTAACCACTAAGCTACCAGAGCTAAAACCTGGTGCCAGTCATGTCTGAAACCTTTCTTGGGGCTGGAATGTGAAACGCCTTGTGTTAAACCAGGACCTTTCAGTACATTATAAGTACAATGTAGTCTTCAAAGCCAAACAGATTTGAGTTTGAATTCTGACTCTGCTAGTTTTTAGCTATATTCAATGTCTCTCTCAGCAAATGGCCTTTTATCACTAAATTAAGATAATAATATCTCATGTAGGTTAGAGATAGTGAGGCATGCTGAACCATTGTGCAGAATGTTCTCAGCATTCAAAACACAGGAGGTATTAGCAAAACTGTAACATGTTTTCCTATCTTTGTAAATGTTAAGGGAAGCCACGTAACAGGTTTTCCTTAAGATCATTCAAAATGTGATCTTTTTCTCCCACAGATATTATGACAAGAAGTATCAGGTGTTTCTGAAGCTGGTTGAACACCAGAAGGAATATGCTGCGATCATGAAGGAGAACTGAATGGGGCCTGTGGGTGCTGATGCCCAGAGGTTCTGTGTCATTGCATTAGGGACCCATGCCATTCCATCCTATATACAAGACTCTTTAGGTATCACATCATCTTTTCTGCATTGTCTTTTAATAAAGAGAGACATGTCCAATCAGAATGAGAGTCTTCCATTATAAAATACCACCATTTAGTAATTGGCAGTTTCCACACCATGGTATCAGAAGTTTCACAGAGAATCACAGGATCTCTTTTGGCTCTAGATCTTGGGGAATCACCCAATCCATGGAGAACGTGTTACCTGATTCAAAGTCAGCCATTAAATGAAAGACTTACCTTGCTTTGGATTCTTGGTGTGGCTCTGTAGGATCAACACCTAGGAGCCCACAGGATTGTTCCTTGGAAACCCTCACAGGGTTGCTGTGAGTAAAACCCACCCGACAGCACTTAAAAATAACAACAACCACCTTGCTTTATATAGGACATTTAATGTTATTCCATGTGTGGCTGAATACTTATTGTTAGCATTTAATTTGAAAATAATTTCAACAGAAAGTTTTAAGAACAGGAATAACCCAGAAAACTCTCATGTACTACCTTTTAACATTCTACCTCATTTGCTTTACCATTTGTATGTTTATCTCTCTTTGTACACACATACACAATTTTTTTTTTTTTTTTTTACCATTTAAGAGTAGGTCTCAGTAGACTTAATTTATAGATGACACGTGAATGAACTCAATTCTTGCTGGCATTTTTCCCCCTCCAGTATGGGATCCAATCTAAGATCAGATATTGCATTTACTTGTAGAATCATCATCTTGCAACCATCATATTGAAGATAGGTACAGGCAGGAATCATATTAAAGACAGGTACAGACAGTCGGCCCAAGGGAAAATTTGATGAGAAGCAGGATATAAGTATGGCCTTAAGGTGCCCCCTCCCCCCCACACACACACAGATTACTTATAGTTTTACAAGAGGGGAAAAAATGTTAACTACACAAGACAACATCTTAATTGGGTGATTAGAATTAACTTCAGATGGGCAGGCAGATGGACATCACATGCCTCTAACATGCCTGAGAAGGACACAGCACCACATATGTAGGATTCTGTCTGGAAATGAATAACCAGAATCTAATCATAAGGAAACATCAGACAAATCCAAGATGAGAAGTGTTCTATTGTTTAATAGCCTGCATTCTTCAAAAATGTCTACTCCGTGAAAAGGTTTCCAGATTAAAGGAAGCTAAAGAAACATGATGATTAAAAGCTTTTTCTGTGTTTTTAATCTTCATTTATAGCTCAAAGCTTTTGATGCAGATAAGTGTTTGAAAAATTGTAATTACTTTAGTCGATATTATATACACATACACACCCATATTACCCACAATTTCAGAGGCAACAAGAGCTTCTCATGTTATTTCTAGGCCAGGCATAGCTCAGAAGAGTTTGGGTAGAGGCATGTGAGGCATCAGCAAAATAAATCAGTAGGTAGAAAAAAGAAAAAGCTAACACCATTCAGTCAAAAGACATTTTCTGAAGTGCTTAATTTAGTGCTAGGCATGGTACTAAGTACTGGGGTATAGAGATAAAACATGGCCCCTGTCCTCAAGGAGCTCACAGTCCAGTGGAGAATGGAGATCATAAATCTTTCACAGTCCAAGATGAGAAGTGCTTCAATAAAGGACGGCATCTGCTGCCAAGCAGTACATCCATCAGAAGAGGAGGGAGCAGTGGAGAGCTGACATTTAGGCTGAGAAGCATCAGGGGGTAATGGGTGAGCTGAGGCTTGGAATTCTAAGCCTGACTTTACTTCCACTGTCTGTGTGTCCTGGTGTGGTGCTATAGAATAAGCACTGGGCTGTAAGGTCAGTTTGAACTGCAGTGGTTGGTGGTTCAAATCCACCAGCTGCTCCTTGGAAACCCTATACAGGGTTGCTATGAATTGGAATCAACTTGAAAGCACTAAACAACAACTGGAGTTCTCTGAGTTGGAACCGATTTGGTGGCCGGAGACTACAACAACATCTGTGTGACTTGGAGGAGGGTCCTTAATCTCCTTGAGCCTCAGTTTCCTTTGAAATGAAGATATTAATAGTATATCTTCAGGCTGATAATGAGGATTAAATGAGATAATTCACATAAAGCCCTTTGTTCAATCATCTGAACCACACATCTGTTACTGGGCCTGTTGCCCAGCTCAAAGCAAAAACAATGGTAATTATGATGAAGATGACTGCTCTTCATCATAAAGGCCAGCTCTACAACAACATTCTATAGTATTCAAAGAATGCAGAGATCTTGGGTGTGGCCCAGGGTAAAGGTGGATGAGGGTGTCTGATCCAGCCAGCCCATAGTATGAAGCCCTGGTCACTCACAACTAGGCTCCAGCCAGGACTTGGTCTAGGGATGAGAGAGATTTGGAGCATTGAATTCAAACCACCCAGTGATCCAGTGCCCTACAGTGCCACAGAATGTTATTAATCTGTAAGAGAATCATTCTGACCTCCACTATAAAGTCAGTGTTTTAGGAGAATCTAAATGAGGGTCAGAGAAAAAGAGGAAGACCCCCAGTGAGGTGGACTGGCAAAGTGGCAGCATCAATGGGGTGCCAACAAAAGTGAGGTTGGCCCAGGACCAGGCAGAGTTTTCGTTCTGTTGTGCATAGGGTCGCTATGAGTGGGTACCGACTCGATGGCACCTAACAACAACAACAAATGTCTACATGGAGTGCTGGTGTGGCACTGTGCAATAAAGCTCTGGACCACAAGGTAGGTTTGAACCACAAGGCTAGCGATTCAAACTCACCATCTGTTCCTCGGAAACCATAGACAGGGTCACTGTGAGTTGGAATTGGCTTGATAGAAATTTAACAACAACAACAAATGTCTGTATGGATTCCTGTAACCATGTGTCAGCTTGATAATTAAAATGGCATTGGCTCTAATACAGTCTCTTACATGAGAAAGTAGGTTTCATTTAATGCACACATGTAAAGTGTAAGTCTATTTAGCTTTTAAAAATAAGAGTTACAGTATGGCCAGAGTGATTTGTGGGGTTTTTGTTTTGTCATGTTGCCTACTCAAAGTTTTTCTTTCAAGTTGAAGCCAAGCTCACTTAGCAAATCATTTTGCCAAGAAGCATATTACAGGATTTTAATTCTGATCAAAAATACTTCCCATATGTGATGAACATAAATCTGACTTTCAAAGAGCCAAAGAGAACAAAAGCCTGGGTGAG